AAATACTGAAAACATGACCTGTGTTTGTGTTTAGGAAAAGCAGGAATTTGCAAGGCCTGAAGCCTGAGAGCTGTGCTGGGCAGCTGGCTTTCCAAGCTTAGGAAGAGGCGGGCTCACTGGAGAAGCCAAAGGGCCAGGGCTTTTAAGGTAAAGAGATGAACAAACTCTGGATGGAAAGGGAGTTCATATTTGGGAACAAGGTTTAAGCTGTCCAAGTTACTGGCTGGGCTATCTTTTTCACAGTGTGCTCAATACACAGGGAGAAGAAGGAACAAGGGGAGAGAGAAGGGAAAAGGATGAGGAAGGATGGAGGAGGGGTAGGTGCTACTTTCCAAGATGCTGAATCAGCTTATTAGCTGTATTCTCACAAACACACTCATCTATCCAGCAGCAGACCGTCACTGCATTTATCAGCGCAATTCCAAGTTCTTTCTAGTACTCTCTGGAGACAGTGGAGCATGTAAACAAACACCTCCATCAGCCTCACCTTACTTCAGGATGAACCACTGTCAGGGAGGGAAGATCTTTGTCCCTTTGTGCACAACTCAGCAGATTCTAATTTTCAGGGGGGGAAAGAGCTGTAACCTCTTTCCCCTCACTTTAGGATAGCTCCTGCCAGGCCTGATGGGCTGCTCTCCAAGTACAGAGACAGTAAACAGGGCTGACTGCTTCCAAGAAAACCAAGCCCAGCTCTAAGCTTGCCAGAACCGTTTGCCAGAGAAAGTCAGACGGGAGTGAGCAGACACATTTGGAGTGACCATATATTTGTCCTCAGGGCTACTGAGATGAATGTGCTAATTGGGACTGGACATAAGACAGATTCTCCTTTTTGTATATACACATGTGTGCACATGCAGATGGAGGCCAGCGGGCAACACTGGATGGCTTTTCTCAGTCATTCTCTACCTTATGTTTCGAGACAGAGTCTCCCATTGTATCTGAAGCTCACAGACAGGCAGCCAACAGGACCCAGGGATCTGCCCGTGTCTGCCTCTTCAGTGTTGGAATTACAAGCACATGCCACCATGCTCAGCTTTTTAATGTGGCTTCTGGGAATTGAACCCAGTCCTTATGCTTGCAAGGTGGCAAGTGTTACTGCCTCTTCCTGTCTCAACAGGGGACTTTCTAAGAAGAACGTCATCCCAAACTGGTTTGTTGCTGCTTTCTCATGTCTGCCTTTGTTTTCTTCCACTCTCAATAATTTTTCCCTCTTTCCCTCCTTCCTTCCCTCCCTCTCTCCCTTGTTTCTTTGCTTTCTCTCCCCTCCCTCCCTCCTCTCTCTCTTTCACTTCCTGGCTCTGGCTCTGTCTCTGTCTCTGTCTCTCTCTCTCTCTCTCTCTCTCTCTCTCTCTCTCTCTCCTTTCTATCAGGATCTTGCTATGTCCATCTGGCCTGGGAGTTCAGAGACCCCCCCAGAGCTGGGATGACAGGCGAATGCTGCCACACCCACTCTTTGTTCACCCTCAAGGCTGCATTTAGAGAAAGCTCACTTGATGTTGGGCACGTGAATACACTTCAGTGGCCGCCGTAGAACTTCTGGAGTAAATCCAAGGGATGTGATTTCAGCAGTGCTTTTCTCGAGCCCTGAACTCCAGACTCACTGTTTCCTTTGTTTCAGAAATGCTGGCTTTCACTTTGGCCTTCATTCTCCCCCCCACTAGATGACTTTCTCTTTTTTTTATTTTTTTAATTAATTTATTTATTTGTTTATAAAAATTTCCACTTCCTCCCCTCCTCCCCATACCCTCCCATTCTCCCCACTCCCTCTCCCCCTCCACACTCCCTCCCCTCTTCCCTCTCCAGTCCTAAGAGCAGTCAAGGTTTCCTGCCCTGTGGGAAGTTCAAGTTCCTCCCCTCTCCCTCCAGGTCTAGGAAGGTGAGCATCCAAACAATCTGGGATTCTAGGATCCCAGAAAGCTAGTACATGCAGATAAAACAAGACCCAGTGCCATTGACTTCTTTGACTTCATTGACTGAGTGCTTCTCAGTCAGCCCCCATGTCAGTCACATTTAGAGACTCCGGTTTGATCACATGCTCGTTCAGTCCCAGTCCAGCTGGCCTTGGTGAGCTCTCATTCGATCAGTCCCCTTGTATCCGAGGGTGAACGCACCCCACACGGTCCTGATTTCCTTTTTCATGATCTCTCTCCTTCTGCTCCTCATTTGGACCTTGGGGGCTCAGTCCGGTGCTCCAATGTGGGTCTCCGTCTCTATCCCCATCTATTGTCAGATGAAGGTTCCCTCTAGTCCTGTCAAGATGTCTAGAAACTCAAGAAATTGTGCCTGGCCATCATTCGACTTCACCACTCTTCAAGGTCTGGCAATTGCTTCCACACTCCACACTTTCTCTGGAACAATCCTTTCTTTTCACCGATGTGTAGGGCTAACTGTATGTTCTTAAGTAGAAGAAAAAAATCACACTGTTTTCACCCTATCCGTTGGGTTGGTATATTCTCTCTATTTTGTTTTTGTTTGGTTTTGTTTTGTTTTTTGTTTTGCAAAACTTGTCCAGAAATTTTAGAAAATTTATTCATTTATTTCCCTCAAACTTATTTAATTATTTTAATATCTCTCTCTGTATTTCTCTCTGTGTCTCTGTCTCTGTCTCTGTCTCTGCCTCTCTCTCTCTCTCTCTCTCTCTCTCTCTCTCTGTGTGTGTGTGTGTGTGTGTGTGTGTGTGTGTGTGTGTATCAGTGTGAATGCGTGCGGGTGTACACATGCCTTTGTGCACGTGGAGTTCAGAGGACCGCACCCAATATTGGTCCATGTCTTCCACCTTGTTTGGGACAGGGTCTCCCGGTTTTGCTCTTTTCTGCACTGTGTACACCAGCATAACTGGCTCTCAAGCATTGGGGAGTCCCAGTTTCTCACTCCCATCTCCCTGTAGAAGTGCTGGAATTACAGATGCAGGACACCACATCCTGCTTTGTGTGGGTTCTAGGGCTCTGAATTAGGATCCTCTGTGAACCACAAGGCCTTAGCCCTACTGGATTGCCTCCCCAGTTCTGGGATCTGGTCTAGTCATTCTTGGTTGTGACTGTTCGATCCCAGAGTTTCTTCTGACTGCCTCCTCTGTTTATTTAACTATGTATTTCCAGAACAGTCTGTCCATTTGGCCAGTAACTTCTGCTTTCATCTCTCCTTCTTTGAGGTTCTTTCAGTGGCTCCTTTTCTACCTCCTCTTTCCGATATTAAGCAATCCACAGAGGTCTCGGCTTTGCTGTCTCTCGCTCGTTTTGTCCGTCTGTTATCTTATTTAGTTAAGCGGCTGCTGACCTCTGCTGAACTCCTGCTTCTCGGGCAGGTGAACTTCCACCCACTCATGTTCTGTTTGCTGAGCCTAAGTCCATCATCACGTTCAAAACTGGGTTTCCTCCAGTATGTTTTAGTTTTGTTTTTTGATTTGGGATTTTCCTGTCGGTCAACTTGAAGCCCGTTTGTCAATGTTCCCTTCTCCTTTGCCCCTCACCTGTGTTCCGGACCTTGCTCAATCACTCACTATCTCTTCGTGAATTGCTGCTGATTTATCTCCCTCAGCCACGTTTCCTTCCCGAATTACTGTAGAATCGCTGCTTTTAAGCCTGTCTTTGTTCAAGATTGCTTTTATATATTTCTAGGGAAATATCCCTAAACAGAATTTTAATTTTCTTACTTATTCTTTGTCAATCATACACACATACGTAGTATGGGCTGACGATGTTTACCCACTACCCTCTCACCCACCCCTCTCCTGTTGAGCCCCTTCTCTCAACAAGCCCGTCGCCCCCCTAGATTTCTACAACTTTTGTCTGCAGAGCTCCTCATACCAGCTTTGTTGGTTGGTTGTTTGGTTTTGAGATCGGGTCTCATTAATTGCCTGAAAATCTAAATCTATATTGTCTTCCTTTTGCTTTGTTCATGTACCATACCCAGTTCGTAACTCTAAACTTCAAAAACTCTCCTTAGTGTCTTCCAAAGCGTTTCCCCAGTGTCTACCAAATAAAGTCCAACCTTCTTATCAGATCTTTGACTTTAATTTTGTTCATTGAGCAAATGTTTACAAAGTCCTTGTTATTTGACAGATGAGACAGGGTGGAAAGACAGGGGGAACTAAGAGGAAATAGGAAGGGAAAAGGAATTCTTACCACAAAGTCTAGGAGAAATTGCTCACCAGGTAAGAATCAAGAATTCCAGAAAATTAACATTTCCTTTGAAGATTGCCTATCTAGAGATATTTCTTTATATAGAAATGTTTCAAGTAAAAATGCCACAGGTTGTGAAGACAGCTCAGTAATTAAGAGTGCTTTCTGATCTTCCAGAGGACCTGAGCTTAGTTCCCAGCACCAGCACAAGGTAACTCACAGCTGCCTGTAACTCCAGCTCCAAGGGATCCCTCACCTCTAGCCTCTGCTTGTATTTACATGTGCATCACACACATGCACACACATTCATGCACACATGCACACACACATGGGAACAACATAATTTGAAAAGAATAAAAATAATCTTTTGGAAGGATATTAAAACATCAATGAGTCAAGCTTCAGGCATCAGAGTGGATAACTAAATCAGCCCCCTCCCAGTTATAAAGCTGTGATTATCTGGTACTGTCAGAGGAATTTCTATTTAGCGTAAAAGATCTGTTTTAACCCCTGTCTACCACCATGTGACCCAGTTCTGACTAGTTCGCAATCCTATCCAGGCACCTCTAGGGACATTAACCAAGAAGTAAGGGGAGGAGGTCTAGTTATAACAAGAGCCACTAGACTCTTGAGATTGTTCTCTGTTTCTCTGTTTCTGTCTCTGTCTCTGTCTCTGTCTCTCTCTCTCTCTCTCTCTCTGTGTGTGTGTGTGTGTGTGTGTGGTGCGGGAGAATTGTCTGTATTCTGTCAATAATATTTTAATAAAATGCTGATTGGCCAGGCAGGCAGTATAGGCGGGAAAGCCAGACAGGAAGTAGGGGTGGAGCAATGAGAACAGGAGAATTCTGGGAAGCAGAGGTTCCTCTGCCACTCCTGCACAGACCACCGAAGAGGCAACATGTAAGCTGTCACACTGAGAAAGGTACTGAGCCCATGTGGCTAAAATAGATAAGGATAATGGGGTAATATATGTTATAAGAGCTAATAAGTAGCCAGAGCTAAGGGCCAATCAGTTTATAACCTTATGGAGTCCTGTGTGTGATTTCTCTTTGGGACTTGCCGACTTGTTGGGGTGCCAGGTGGGACAGAAACCCCAACAAGCCGCCCCCTCATGCTACATATGTGTGTGTGTGTGTGTGTGTGTGTGAGAGAGAGAGAGAGAGAGAGAGAGAGAGAGAGAGAGAGAGAGAAACTCTATATTTAATGTTAGACTCTCTTCCAATTCCAATTCTACTTTCCTACTCATCAGCTCTTTCTGAAATTCCTTTCTGGGACAAAGAAACCCATCTTTTTCTGATGTCTTGGAGAAGAACTGAGGCCATTGCAGGCGGCCACACACAGCACTGCCAGCCCGTGTCCTGCTGCACTGACGGCACACCTTGCAGGAGGAGTGCACTTAGAGATCCCATGCACGTCTTGATCTAGCAGGAGAGCAAGGGACAGTGGGGGAAGGCTGTGAGGGACAAGCTTTCCATGAACACACAAGAGGGGCCTCAGCCCATGGCCAGGGAGATTGGGTGTAGGAAATGCATCAGCAGAGATGGGCAAGCACTCTGTTAAATTGACAAACGGAAAGCAGGGGCAAGTGAGTTTCTAGCAGGACCCAGCAGCGTGGCTTTGGGAGGTATGTCCAAGCATGCGCGTCCTTGAACCCATCTACGCCAGCCGCAGCCATGAAGCGTCCCATGTTTTGGGGTTGAAAGTCTGTTTTATCAGGGTCTGTACTTCTATAGATTTCCACCCTTCCTCTCTCTCTCCCTCCTCCTCTCTTCCTTCCTTCCTGTTAACTTGATCTCACGTATCACAGGACGGCCTTAAACTCACTGTGTAGCAGAGGCTGACCTTGAACTTCTGGATCCTCCTTCTGACTGCTGTAATTATAGACTTGCACTACCAGGATTTACAAAGTGCTGGTGCTCAAATCCAGGTCCTCATTCCACTACACAAACTCTCTATTAACTGAGTTATATTCCGGCTCCCGTCTGCCCATGTCTTGGAGCACATATGTCTTATCTCCATGCTCCATTACTCTCCTGTTCCTCTTTCATTGATTTTTTTTAACAAGTATTTACTGTTTGTGTGTGCCGCAGTGTGCTCTGGAGATGGAATCCAGGTTGCCAGGCTTGGTGGCAGGTGCCTGTGACTGCCGAACCATCTCGCCAGTCCCCCTCTTCTCTTCAATCTTCAAAAGCTGCCCTAACTCAGAAACAAACTTATTTGTCATTTTTAGTTCTTAGGGGACAAACCACATTCCGAAGAGCAGCACTCAGTGCTGGCCAACTTGTTCCTTCTCTCTGTATAACCAAGAGATAAATAACAATGAATGAACCTATGATGGCTCATCTGGAGATTAGAACAGGATTTGTTGCCATGGAAACATCTCTCTGGGTATATCTCAGAGTTTTTCTACATTAGGCTAATTGGGGCAGGAAGACCTACCCTAAATGTGGGCTGCACAATTTCATCATCTGGCTCAACACAAAGGATGAAAAAAAGCTGAGCAGCAACACCAACCACTCCTTCCTTCCTGACTGCGAACACAGTATGACGAGCTGCTGCCTACTCCTGCCACCAAGCCTTCCCCACCACGATGGACCGTGCAGTGTGGAATGGAACAGAAAGCAAACCCTTCCTTCCATAAGCTGCTTTTATTGGCTATTTAGTCACAGCCAAGAGACAAGCAACTTATAGCATCCTAACCCTATCCGGGGAGCCAACATTGGCCTTTATGATGTAAGCATCAAAAATGAAAATGGCAGATTTCTTCAGGTCAGGCACCATGGACTGGCATCTGTGATGCGTTCCCTAGGGCACAGCCCAGAACTGGTTAGGTTTGCAAAGGAAAGGGGATATTCCCATACAAATCATTTCCCTTCTCTAAGGAATTACCCAACTTTGGGGGAAGACCCCTCTTGTAACCTGTGCTTCTAAATCGCCATGAAATGTAGAAAATCAAACAAACAACTAACACAAGTTAAACATTTGCTTCCAAAAATATACATGAAACTTGGGCTGGCAGCTATTCAACACACCTCATCTCTCTGGCAGCCATGATCAGTGAGAGACTGTGGGTTTGTATCAGTCTCTGTGAGCTCCTCTGTTTATCCTGATCTTAAAGCTATTGTTCCCATCTTATAACAAATCCAGATGGTTTGGGAATAAGATGGACACAGTTAAGGGATTTAAAAACTGGTAAGGTTTAAAACACTGGCCTCTGAATTTGACCCTTGGCTTTCTCAGGCATGAAATGACTTGTCTGAACTATGAGAGTCATCGAATAGCACAACATTCTTAAAACAATGACCCAACCCAGCTGCTTATCACACCGCAACACGCACGGACCAGGAACTCAGGCAGGACACTGAGGCAGATACGAAGTGAAAGGCTTCTTAGTTAGTGTCTATGACTTGTTCAAGAGTACAGCCAGTGAAGTCTCTGCAATGTAGCATGTTCCTCTGGATTTAATTCTCTTAACGTGAGATGTGGGTCCCAGAGCTCCTCAGACGTGGAAAAATGAACCCGGTGGGATAATTCCCACACACTCAAATGACTCATAATGGGAGGTTGGTTTTTAGGATGCACTTTTAAAACTTCCTGCCAGTCCGTTCATCTGTTATGCTAGCTCCTTGTAAGTTGTTTTGCTTCTTTAGGCAAAACATTTCATTTATTTATTTTAGAATCTGTTGACTGCTGTGGCCCATCTCCCAGAGGGGACCATTTTGTGCCAAGTGTTAAATATAACTTACAGTGGAAAGCATCCGTGGCAAAGGCCTCCTAGGAAGGGGTTTGGAGACACTAGATGAGGACCGGATTGTATTAGCATAGGCCGAACAGCTTCTCTCCTGCTGTGATTCTCCCCTAAGTCTTATGGAGATTTCTCACTTATTTTACCAAGTGATGTGAAATACTGAAGATTTAGTACATCAGAATTCTTGTTTTGCAAATGACATGAGACTTTTTCTTTTTCCCAACTAGGCAACAATTGAGTAGGTATTTCTTTTTAATTTTTAATATAATATTTTTATTAATTCTCTTAAAATTTCATAGTGTTTATAATATATTTTGATCATAGTCATCCTCCATTCCTTCCCCAAACTCCTCCTAGATCCTCCCCCATTCCACTCCCACTCCCAGCTTCAGGTCTTCTTTCCTTTTCTTTTTTTTTTTTTTTTAAAGATTTTATTTATTTATTATGTATACAGTGTTTTGACTGCAAAATGCCTCCATGCCTGAAGAGGACACCAGATCTCATTACAGATGGTTGTGAGCCACCATGTGGTTGCTGGGAGTCGAACCCAGGCCCTCTGGAAGAGCAGCCAGTGCTCTTAACCACTGAGCCATCTCTCCAGCCCCCTCTTTTCTTTCTTTAATAATCCAGAGAACTCAATTTGTGCTGTACATGGGTGTGGTATCCACTCGCGGCCGGTCCACCTATGAGAGCCCATGCCCTTAAAGCAAATCAACCATTTCTCCTTGAGTAGCCACCAGTGCTATTCAGCCTCATCCTAGGGCCTTGTGAGGCCTCCCCAGGATTATTTTGTAACTTTTGTGTTATTCACCATGTAAGGCAATAGTCACAGCCCACTTGAAGCTTGATGTCTTAGTAATATTTCCTACCAGATCCTTAGCTCAGTGTAACCCACAGCACAATAAATCGACCCCTGATTTATAGTACTTGCTATATTTAGTGTAAATAGTCCCACCAGGGAAATTGGCAAGTGCGGACATGATGTCATTTATGAAACACGGACTTGCTAAGAAATGAACCAAATCACGCTATTATACAGTGTGTACAAACCGTAGACACAGCCTCGGGGCCATTGGTGACTGCAAACCGTAACAGGTAGGAATTAGGAAGTTTTGTCTACTTATTACTTTTGTTTAAAACACTATTTATTTAATTTTATATTCATGTGGTATTATTTAAAGATATATGTACTTTTATTTTTTTGTTCATGAGTATTTCGTCTGCATGTGTGTCCAAGCACCATGCGTATACCTGGTCCCCACAGAGCAGAAGAGGGCACCATATTCCCTGGAGGCTGAGTTGCAGATGGTTATGATCTGCGTATGTGTGCTGGGGACCCAACCTAGGCCCTCTGCAAGAGCAGCCAGCGTTCTTAACCACAGAGCCATCTCTCCAGTTCCAGGTTTAATGACAGCTGAACTTAGAAACTGAACACAAAACTCCTAAAAATGTAACGATGGCTTCTTTTGAGCCACATAAACACTGACTTCAGAGTATACTGATAAAGGGGACTAATCTGTCACATACTTTCTCATTATCCACAATGCTTTTGAGCTGCTTGTTTTCCCCAGGTCTCAGAAGCCAAATCAGTCCTCTAAGAGGAAAGATGGGTGGTATTCAGAAAAAAATCAGTTTTGTCCTCATTTCCCATAGGTAATCATGTTTCCTGTTTAAAGGTAATCAAGGAGAGAGAAAATAAATATATTTGTGTAATTTAGAATAATTTGTCTTCAATGAAATATTTCAACTTTTGACATTTTTCCCCTAGTTTTTAGCTCAAGAAAAGTCCCTATATGGCCTGCAAAATCTAACTTTAAGCTGCACCCTCCCACACATCAGAATCATATTCTCCAGGGACTGTATTTAAAGAAAAAGTGGGTTTACAGTTTGTAATTACATGTCTTCTGATAAAAAAAATTCCTGAATTATTCAGAGTGTCTGCAATCATAAAAATTTTTATCATAAAGGTTTTCACAGGGAAAGGACAAGAAGATAAGGGGTGTGGGAAGAAGATACTACACCTTCGGCCACCAGAAGAAAGGCAGCTTTGTAAATCAGAGTGAAGACTGAGGCTGGAGATGCCCGGAGGAGCAGTGCCTTTCAGCACTTCAGCAGAAGCCTAACTGCAGCGACTTCTGACCGCAGGGCTGTAACAGGTTTGCTGCTTTAAGTGGGGAGCATGGGGGGGGGCGTTTGTTAGAGGAGCAGTAGAAACAAACACACCTGCGATGAGCGTTCACCATGGGTCTTGTCGATGTACACTTCCATTTATCTCGGATAAATAAATACTGGGGAACTGAATCTTGTAACATGAGGGGGTCTGCTTGTTGGGGTTTCTGTCCCGCCTGGTACCCCACAGCTGGCAAGCCCCAAAGAAAATCACACAGAGATCTATATAAGTTATAAAACTGATTGGCCCATTAGCTCAGGCTTCTTATTAGCTCTTGTAGCTTATATTAACCCATTATTCTTATCTATGTTAGCCACGTGGCTCGGGTACTTTTCTCAGCAGGGCAGGTCACATCTTGCCTCTTCAGAGTCTGGGTAGGAGTCGGAGGAATGGGCTTCCTCCTTCCTAGAATTCTCCTGTTCTCATTGCCCTGCCTCTACTTCCTGTCTGGTTGACCTGCCTATACTTCCTGCCTGGCCAATCAGCGTTTATTTAAAACATGATTGACAGAATACAGACAATTCTCTTGCACCAGAATCTGAGCCCTAGGCATGTTCAGCTTTAACTTCTAAGAACTGATAAAACCCTTTTCCAGCGTGACTGAATCTTTCTCTGCTGCCACCAACACTGTGAGAGACAGCTAGCTGCTCAGCATTTTTGCTAGAATTTAATTCGTGTTTTTCTTAATTTTAGCTACTTAATATAAAATGTGCAACACCTTTTACACATTTACCAATAATATACTAGATGTTAAGCATCTAAGTATTTTGCTTATTTTTATTTTCCCATCCCTACCTCTCCTTCTTGCCTTAGTAACAATTTACCTATTCTGTACATTCATAGAAAGGCGGTCAAATTAGTGTGTGTGTGTGTGTGTGTGTGTGTGTGTGTGTGTTGATTGAATTGTTGCCCTTAAGGTTAAGTGTTCAAGTACAGTATTTTGTTGCTATTTATACCACATTTTTCTCTCTCCTCGCAGACATTTGAACTACTTCACCTTTCCCGTGTTGTGGATAAGGGTGCCATAAATGACTGTGTTGACAACTTATTTTCATTTCCCTAGGATGTATAACCAGAAGGGATTGTTGGGGTGTATGGTAATTCCTTGTTAAGTTGCTAAGCAACTGTCTGCTTTCAAATGTGGCTTGACTTTTTCTTCCCCACCATAACGCACGAGGATTCTGCTCTCACTAGACCCTCGCTTGCACCTGTTATTCTGTTTCCATGGCTGCAGCTCTTCTGAGGGCAACGTGCATGCCCTTCCTCATGACTAAAGATGTGGAGCACATTTTCAGGTATTTATTGGTTAGTTGTCTATCTTTTTTTTAGAAATGAGTATTGATAGCCTCTAAATATTTTTAAATTTGTTCTTTTTGTCATATATTATTACTGCATTATGTCTTAAGGTTACTATTGCTATGATGACCAAAAGCAAGTTGGCTTGTGTGTCTCAAATCCCAGACTCTTGAGGGAAGCCAAGATAGGACCTCAAACAAGACAACAAGACAGAAACCTGGAGGCCAGAGCTGATGCAGAGACCCTGGGGAGGTGCTGCTTACTGTCTGGCTTTCCAGGGCTTGCTCAGCCCACATTCTTAAAGAACCCAGGACCACAGACCCAGGGATGGCACCACCCATAATGTGCTGGGCCCTCCTACAGTAGATGTTCTACATCATTTGTGTGTTAGTCACCCTGAAGACCTCTGAGAGTTAAATTGCTAATTCCTTAGTCCTTATTTGAATTGCAAAGTGCTGAGTCTACACTGTCATGTAAACACTGCAAAGAGCCTCTATCTGACCTATAGGATGCCTGTCCTCGGTGTATGACACAGCCTCACATGATGTTGGGATGTGCAGAAGTTAAAACATAGGTTTTAAAAAAATTATTAAGCTATTGAAATAATACAACATAAACGTCTCTCTTCCTTCTTTCCAACTTCTCTTTTCCATTGTTTTATCTTTTTTAACCCCAGTTCAGCAACCCACTTTTTTCAAATGGCTTTTCTGAGGGGAGACACAATATCTCAGTTCCTGTTTTTTTCCTTCCTTTTTTTAGAACATATAGCAGAAATGCTTCCTAATGCTAATAATACTCATGGTTGTTACATTCTTGAGAAATTTACTCTAATGAATCAAGCAATGTATTTTTAGAACATTTTTTGTTTCCAGGAAGAATGAGTACACAGGTCAGTTTCAATTGCCCCCACTATGTGTAGACCATTGTGAAGTGAAAATTTAATTTCTGTATGTTGGTCAGAGTTCAAAAAGTACTTATTGTGATAGTCATTGTTCTTTTATATACTGGTTCATTGAACAGATAGTAGTAAAAATGTAAATACATGTGTTTTTTACTCTTTGGGACTATTTAAGATGCTTTATTTATTTATGTGTACTTGGAGCCCATGGGAGTCACAGCATTCAGATGTCAACCCATCAGAGGAATGATTCTCTGACGGGGAAAATTCTTTCCAGGCAAGGCCTATGGGATCATCGACTCTGGAAACTGTTGCTATCTGTAATTACTATCAGTAGTTTTACATTTGCTAAAGCAACTATGGTGTTTCCCCAATACCTGCACTGTAGTATGTAATTCCATATGTTGTGTATGTGCAATCTCATGATTGTATCTCAATATATGGGCACATATATCTGTGGGTGGTTAGAAAGATGACTTTTCATTAAGATGTATTATTTTCATATATAGAAAATATACTAGGATGTGCTTTATAACTAGATCTACTGCCCCATGGGGACTGTAAAGACACTTAAAAGCCTACTTTGTTTCTATTGTTCAAGCTACATATAATTAACTCATTTTTTTAAAAAAATTATTTATTTATTTATTTATTTATTTATTTAAAATTTCCACCTCCTCCCATCCTCCCATTTCCCTCCCACTTCCCCCACTCTCCCTCCTCCTCGCTCTCCAGTCCTAAGAGAAGTCAGGGTGCCCTGCCTTGTGGAAAATCCAAGGTCCGCTCTCCATCTTAGGAAGGTGTGCATCCAAACAAACTAGGCTCCCAAAAAGCCAGTACATGCAGTAGAATCAAAATCCAGTGTCATTATCATTGACTTCTCAGTCCACCCTCATTGTCAGCCACATTCAGAGAGTCCGGTTTGATCACATGCTCGTTCAGACCCAGTCCAGCTGGCCTTGGTGAGCTCCCACTAGATCAGTTCCACAGTCTCCATGGGTGGATGCACCCCTCACAGTCCTGCCTTCCTTTCTGACCACACTGAACCAGATAGAAGAGAAAGTGGGAAGTAGTCTGCAGCACATGGGCACAGGAGACCACTTCCTACATAGAACCCCAGTAGCACAGACAATAAGAGAATCAATGAATAAAGAGGACCTCCTGAAACTGAGAAGCTTCTGCAATGCAAAGGACACTGTCATTAAGACAAAAAGGCAACCTATTGAATGGGAGAAGATCTTCACCAACCTCGCATCAAAGGTCTGATCTCCAAAATCTATAAAGAACTCAAGAAACTAGACATTAGAGCTCTAATTAACCCACTTAAAAATGGGGTACTGATCTGAACAGAGAATTCTCAACAGAAGAAGTTCAAATGGCCAAAAGACACTTAAGGTCATGCTCAACCTCCTTAGTGATCATGGAAATGCAAATCAAAACAACTTTGAGATACCATCTTACACCTGTCAGAATGACTAAAATCAAAAACACCAATGATAGCCCATACTGGAGAGGTTGTGGAGTAAGGGGAACATTAATCCCTTGTTGGTGGGAATGCAAACTTGTGCAACCACTTTGGAAATCAGTGTGGCAGTTTCTCAGGAAACTGGGAGTCAATCTCCCTCAGGATCCAGCAATTCCACTCTTGGGAATATATCCAAGAGATGCCAAATCATACTACAAAATCATTTGTTCAACTATTACAAATATGTAGCAGCATTATTTGTAATAGCCAGAACCTGGAAACAACCTAGGCGCCCCTCAATAGAAGAATGGATAAAGAAGGTGTGGCACATATATACTTTAGAGTTCTACTCAGCAGTAAAAAACAATGACATCTTGAATTTTGCATGCAAATGGATGGAAACAGAAAACACTTTTCTGAGTGAGATAACCCAGACCCAAAAAGAGGAATATGGTATGTATTCACTCATAAGTGGATTCTAGACATAAACAAAGGACATTGAGCCTATAGTTTGTGATCCTAGAGAAGCTAAATAAGAAGGTGAACCTGAAGAAAATCATATAGTTATCCTCCTGGATATTGGAAGTAGACAAGATCACCAGGAAAAAGTTAGGAGCAGGAGGCTTGGGGGGAAGGGGAGATGGCGAGAGAGAAGGAAGAAGGGGGGGATTTTGGAGAGCTTGGGGGAATGGGATAATTGAGATGGAGGAAGGGTGGATATGGTAACAGGGAAGAAGTTATCTTAACTAAGGGAGCCACTTTATGGTTGGCTGAAGACTTGGCTCTAGAGGGGTTCCCAGGTGTCCAAGGGGATTTCCCCAACTAGGTCCGTGGGCAGCAGAGGAGAGGGTGCCTGAACTGACCTTCTCCCATAGACACACTGATGAATATCTGGCATATCACCATAGAATCTTCATCTGGTGAGGGATGGAGATAGAGACAGAGATCCACATTGGAGCACTGGATTGAGCTCCCAAAGCCCAGATGAAGAGCAGAAGGAGGGAGAATATAATTAGTTCATTAGGTTGAATGTTTCTTAAATGGATCATAAATTAAAAACTTTGCAGATATGCACAGGACGGAAGTTGCAGACGTGTAACCAAGGTTATTAACACAAAGCAACCTAAAAAATCATGCCAATTCTTTGCTTGCCAAGTCTGGCTGATAAAGACCTATGTCTTGCAGCTTGTCTCACTGGGCACCATGGCCCAAGCCTCTGGTCACAGTCTTACACCAGAAACCTTGAAACCTTGTGTTGCCATGGTAAACAGCTCTGCCCTTATCACTTACCCAAGGAATGTGCTGTGACCAATAATATGTAATTATTGTAACTTTTTTCTTGTTGCCTCAAGCCTCTTGTGGAAATGTATTTAAGCTAGGTGAACAAAGAATCAAGAGAGAACTAGAACGGAGAGTTGAAACAAAGGAGAGCTAGAAAGATTTAGAACAATAATGTGTGTGTGTGTGTGTGCGCGCGCGTGTGCGCGCGTGTGCGCGTGCGCGCGCGTGCACGTGCTTGTGTGCCCATGTGCACACCATGACATACTTTTAGATGTCAGAGGACAGCATGAGGAGTCAGTTGTCTCCTGCTACAATGAGAGTTCTAGGACTGGCAGCAAGAGCCTTTACAATCACTTGCTGGCCCAAGTCTTTTTTAAAAAACAGTAAGTAGATGAGCGACAGAGTGACTGCTGAAGGGGCGTGGTCGATCAATAATTAACCAGGCCACCTCAATACAAAAAGATTTAGCTTTTAATAAAAGGGGAAAACTTACACAGAGATCCCAGGAACACCAGATGAGCAGGGAACCAAAGAGAGGAATTGGCAAGGCACTTTGATCTTTTATTTGTTTTGTGTGGCCCCAGGGGGACACACCTTAAGCAGAATGTGATTGGCTGAGATTCCCCCTCAGACTGCCATCAAGGTGACTTGCTGCTCACCTGAGAAAGTGAGACCCGAGACAAACATCCATCTCTGAAAGCAGAGTGGTGGCAACAAATGAATGAATGGACGAATTTATGCCCTGGCAATGCTGAAACATGCATGGGCAGCCCGTACATGGCGGTTCTGTTGAATTTGTCCATATTGGGTTTCATGGTCTAAGTTCATAAGGAGGGCTAACTAGATCTCTTCCTCAAGAGGGCACCAGATCTCATTACAGATGGTTGAGAGCCACCTTGTGGTTGCTGGGAATTGAACTCAGGACCTTTGGACAAGCAGACAATGCTCTTATCCTCTGAGCCATCTTTCAGGCCACCAACAACACCAGGCTGAAATAACAGCGCAGTTTTATTCTTTCAGTTTTCTGGGAGCCTTCAATATTTTAAAGTTTTTCACTAGTAATTTACATGAGGCCCAGGGCAGCAATTAAGTCTAGTTTTGACATGAGTGGCATTGTGTGAATTAACAAAAGACACCACTATGGGCAGATGAAGATATTGCTGAAAGACATTTCCTTCTGAGTACATGACACATATGAAGACTTGCCCTAGGCCAGCTCTCCTAGACTTCCCTGTGCGGTGCGAAGCTGCAGGAGGTACCGAGACACTAGCACCCTACAGCCGCCTGATATAGAGGGCATCTGGTAAATATCTGTCAACTGGAAGACTCAAGGTGCCCACTACCAATGGGTAGCCCATGTTCCAGAAGTGTAAAGGATTATCAACTGATTATTCACTCAATCTTATAAATGCCTGTTAGAGAAAAGATGGCTTAGTGGATGTAGCTGTCATGCAGCTGGAAGGACCGAGTTTGGATTTCCCAGCACTCATAACAAAGCCAGCCAGGTATGGTGACATTTGATATGCAAGAATCCCTAACTCCATAAATAACAGAACTATTGGGGGAAGACATCTAATGTCAACTTTGGGTCCACACACATACACACACACCACACACTTTCACCTTCACACACACACACACACACACACACACACACACCACTCACTTTCTCCTTCACACACACAAACACACATATACCACATATACACATTCATATGCATGTTCATGCAAAAGAATAAAAACCTTTCCGTTAGGCATCTTTCTGTCACTGTGACAAAGGGCTCTAGAAAATCGGCGACCAGGGGAAAAGCTTTGTTTTGGGTCATGGCTTGGGAAGTTTCAGTCCACACTCTTACCTCTGTTGTTTCTGGACTTGAGGTGAGGCAGTGGACCAGGGCAGGGAGTCCGTGATGAAACAGAGCTGCTCACCTCATGATATATGGAAAGCTAAATAAGAACTTGTGTTTTTAACAAAATTCCTTTCCCTAAAGCCTTCAATAGCTGAGCTTTGAGGACCAGTTAAGATCCAAACCACTGCAACCTTGCTGGAAACATCCTGGGCCACTGTGCCCTGCGCCATGGCTATCAGATTACCTTCTGGTTGTCATAGTTTGCTTTGCCCAAGGCTCAAATTCTTCCCTAGGGGATGGGCTGCAAGACTATATTGGAAACAGACACTTGTATGTACTCTGGATTGTTTTCCCTAGAAGAAAACTTGGTTAACAAAAGATTGTCGATAGATAATTTTCAGTAGCCCAGATACAAATAGGCTTTTAACCGACTAAGGACCAAAATGAGGCCTTGAAAGCCA